TGGTCTAATTTAAGGTAGTGGTCTAATTTAGGGTAGTGGTCTAATTTAGGGTAGTGGTCTAATTTAGGGTAGTGGTCTAATTTAGGGTAGTGGTCTAATTTAGGGTAGTGGTCTAACTTAGGGAGTGGTCTAATTTAAGGTAGTAGTTTCATATAGGGTAGTGGTCTAACTTAGAGTAAATAAAAAACAGAGGAAGCCAAGCGGGGTTTGTGAAAATGATTTTAGGCCACTAAAATGTGATCAGACAATGAAATGGCTAAAAGGAAATCAAATTAGTTAATGTACGAGATTTGCAGAAACGGTAAAGAATATGACCTATGATTGTAACTGGTGATGATGATGACCTATGATTGTAACTGGTGATGATGATGACCTATGATTGTAACTGGTGATGATGATGACCTATGATTGTAACTGGTGATGATGATGACCTATGATTGTAGCTGGCGATGATGATGACCTATGATTGTAACTGGTGATGATGATGACCTATGATTGTAACTGGTGATAATGATGACCTATGATTGTAACTGGTGATGATGATGACCTATGAGTGTAACTGGTGATGATGATGACCAGAATATACAGGAATGGTTGCCTGATTACTGCTGATGTACAAATATTGTGGCTATTGTCAATGGAACATTGGTGTGGTAACTGCCAATGTAACAATGATTTGCTTACTGTCAATGTAACAATGATGTGGTTACTGCCAATGTAACAATGATGTGATTACTGCCAATGTAACAATGATGTGGTTGCTGCCAATGTAACAATGATGTGGTTACTGCCAATGTAACAATGATGTGATTACTGCCAATGTAACAATGATGTGGTTGCTGCCAATGTAACAATGATGTGGTTACTGCCAATGTAACAATGATGTGATTACTGCCAATGTAACAATGATGTGGTTGCTGCCAATGTAACAATGATGTGATTACTGCCAATGTAACAATGATGTGGTTATTGTCATTTTAAGGATGGTGTTTTCATTGCTCTTGTGATGGTGCTGTGGTGGTTGTCACAATCGCAGCGTAACGGTGGTGCGGGTGGTTGTGTCAGATGTAACATTATGGACGTGGTTAGGGGAGTCATGGGTGATGGAAGAATGTCAGAGGGTCCGGCAAACAGTGCACCTTTGTTTTTCCGTCATTAACGTTTAGTATATGTGCAGGGTAACTATTGAAGAACGTTAGTTAGGTATGTGGCAGGGGCGGCAACACCACGCACATCACGGGCGTTACTGGCCGCAGTTGAAATCAGGAAACTCAGAAACTCAGTTGCTGTGGTCATCGTCGTTTTGCGTGCCAACTCCCAAAGTTCTTGTGACAAAAAGACCAGAGAAAAAAAAAAGACTTTTTGTTTGCTTGAAAGGGTGAATTGAAGAGAATTTATTAAATTGAGGAGTTTTTCAAAGGATGTTGAAGGAATGGTAATACAACTGCCCTTTAAATGCAGGCCATGTCTTATGTTTCCAATAATGGAAATGTGTGTTTTAGTAAATGTTTTTTTTTTTATTATTGTAAATATGTTTTGTGTGTTATATTATAAGAGTATCTTATTGTTGCAATAATTTTATAAACTGTAACCATATTATTTTTGTACTTTGTGTTTCAGTTTCATGGCTTTTGATGGATTATGTCTTCAGTGTAATGTGAAACATTTAACATGGATTATGTCTTCAGTTTGATGAGAAACATGTAACATGGATTATGTCTTCAGTGTGATGTGAAACATGTAACATGGATTATGTCTTCAGTGTGATGTGAAACATGTAACATCGGCTTCTGCAAGTTCAAAATAAAAACTGCGCTCATATACTCTACTGAGACTTCTGTGTAGTAGATATTTTTCAGTAAACAAAAGGTTTTGTAAATGTGTTGTTGTAGGTGCCTTGATGCCTTGATCACGGGCGTGATCGCAACCCCTTTTAACCGTTATCGTGTTTACTTGATTATCGAATCACCCCAGGAGGCCTCCCCCCTTTAAATGCCAAAGTTGATCCGCCGCTGAAGTAACGTGCGACAGGTCTGCCGTGTGAAAACAGAGACGACCAACCGGTCCATTCTCCAGTTTGTAGAGACACGGTTGTCTATATTACTCTATGTCATTCTCCCAACTTCGCCCTCCCAAGAATGCGCGAGCTTGTTTGATCGCAGCTCTACCAACTGAAAACCTCATTTGTCGTAATGCTTGGCCAAACAGTCTCATACTTGTACCCAGACAGCCGGTTCCCACCCCCCTCCGTTCTCTCCACTCTGCTCCCGGTGAGTTCGGCTCACTCCTCTTTGACATTTGGTACTGCATGGGGAGACATGATCCCCCGTAAGCTTGATGGGACGTAAGTAAGTCTGGCTGGGTTTTAACGTGAAGACGGTGATGGGCTTCACAGAGAGAGATGCGTGTTGGCATACACGGCGCACTGGCTTATCTCCTTCTATTTTTCCCGACTATATTGCCCATAATATTTATTAGCTTGCATTTATCCAGGTTGAATTTTGAGGCACTCAATAAATTGGATAGATGCAGGGGCGTACCTAAGGAGTGGGGGGGGGGGGG